TCTTTTGATAAAACTTTCAAGGAGTTATCAAAAAAGTGTTTATAGTTAGAATGGAACATTTTATTAAATATAGTTTTACACAAAATTTACATACAAAAATACACCTACTGATATTTTATATTAAAAAACTTTATTTTACTAATAAATTTATGAAAAACATTAATATAGCAAACATAAGATCTGTTAATCCTGATCAAGAAATTTTATATAATTTCTAGGATCACGCAGTTTCAAAAAATTGCTAAGAAAAAATGATCACGTGAATTTCCTAATCTCAGTTTAGGAAGTTTTGCCAAAAACTTTTTATTATTCGATATATACCTACACAAAAAAAATATGAATGTATATTTATGAAATCAACCATTAGTGTCACTTTATTGTTATAGAAAAAATAAAAATACATGATAAATTACAGAAAAAAAAACTCTAATCATCTCACATTAGAGTAGAAACTGTAATATTATCTTCTTTTTATCTATCTGATGAAGATATTGATGTATAGTATAGTAAGAACAAATTTGTAATTAATATTATACTTAAAAGTAAAAGGATTTCTATAAATTTAGTTATAATGTTTACATTAAAGATGCCAGCTAAAACTCCTTCAAAATAATTTCGTCATATTCCTTATTATATTTTTAATATAGTTTTAGCTAATTTCAGATTTTGGGGTTTCGTCGTACCTCTCATTATATTTTAATATAATTTCAGCTATTTATTAATTGCTTTTTTGAGTTTTGTCTCTCATCTTTAGTCTACATCTGACAATTGCATATATAAAAAAAAGGAAAAAAAAATTGTTTGTAAATATATATAAAAAAAGAAAAAAAGAAAAGAGTTCATAAATATATAAAAAATAAAAAAAAATAAAAAATGTTTACAAAGATAATAAAGGAAAAAATGTTCGTAAATATATATAAAAAGGAAAAAAAGAAAAAAGTTTGTAAATATACAGAAATTTCAGCTGATTGTTAATGAAAATATCTATAAACATTTACTTTATCTTTAATAAAAACATTTAGATGTAATATATTTCTTACTACTTATACTCCAACTATTTCAAATTGGTCTTTCTTTAGTTTAAAACTTTGCAGACCTAATACATACCATTGTTACTTTCTCTTTATAGCTTTATCTCATCATCTATCTTTTTCTGTTATCTACAATATAATTATAAACATTTAATATACATAAATTCAAAGAAGACATCTAAATATTTTATTGCATACATAATATCTGTTGTTTCACTAACTGTTCTTCATCTTTTCTATCAGCACTAGTAATACTCTGTTATTTGAAGTATTGATAATCTAGAAGGGAGATTTTTTAGTATTTTTCGAATAATAATAGAATAACCATTGATTGATAAGTTCTTTCATTTAGTGATTTTGCAAATTCAGAATTAAAAGTTGGATTACTTTAAATATCCTAAATATCTTCCAGAAAATTAAAACTTCTTTTATAACATCTGTGATTTTTTCTTTTGATTCTTTTCAGAATCCATTATGAATTAGTTTTTCTGATATTGTATTCTGAATATTAATATTGACATAACTTGTTATAAATTTTTACATATTTCTTTAACTATTAATATAGGAATGAACATCATTTGTCAAGCAGGTTTCTAATATAAAATACATAATAGGTGATAGGATGAACTATAATACTATATAACAAATTATAGTATAAACACACCTCTACTACATATAAGTATTTACTGGCAAGTAAGCTAAATAGGTAGGTCAGATATAAGCAACAAATTAGTAAAGTATAAAATAATCTGTTTATTCAGATTTACTTTAGTAAATAATCACACAATATTATCATATGGGAGCGTTTCCAGTAAAATCACATTACGGATCATATGATTTACTATGCCTCATGACTTGATTTTACTGGAAACATTCCCATATAATAAAAAACCCTTCAGTCTAAAATATTTATAAAAATCTTGAATCTGCAGTAGAATTCAAAAAATTCTTAATTAATGTGAAGAGCCTATCATTTGATCAAATGCATAATAAAGGTGTTAGAAGATTAAGTAAGATAAATGAATTATCATTATCACAAAAGACATCTATGAATTCTTCATTAATCTATACATTTAAAGCTTCAAAAGATAATGTTTATGATAATAACAATATATTATTTATGAGCAAGTATCAAGTTTCTCTTCAGAAAAACCCAAGTGAACACCAAATTAATTACTTAAAAAACTATCAGCTATCAAAACATCTTCTATCTACAGACCTATAACTCCAACTATTCCTTCTTTTTCGTAAAATATGAATGTAATCAATGTTACCATCAATTATAGTGAAAGGTCAAACGAGTAACAGGAATAAGATTTTTTTCGTTAGTATAGAATAGCATTTTTAATGGTTTAGTAGAATACAAAAGCAAAAAATATACTATTACTTATAAATTTATATGATGACCTAAAAATTCAAAATAAAAGATACTTTTGAGATTAAATCTTTATTATCTTTTTGTAAAATAATATATGAGAAAGAGTCTTCTGGCTAAGTAATAGTATTTTTTTAGGAGACACATTTGTTAATTAATAATTAATCTAATTTTATAGAAAATATAATCTGAGATCACAACATCATATATATAGTGCAGTTAAAGATAATTTCCATAATTATTTTTAAATTTTAATTGAGTTGCAACTTAATTACGCTATAAGAAATTTAATTGCGTTACAAGTTACAACTTAATTGCATTATTTTTTTTAATTATGATGCTCATCTTTAGATGCAATAAAATTAATCTATTTTCCTATGGATGCAAACTTAATCAATATTTTATTAATTTCATTTTAGCCTAATTTTGATATTGCTGATATGGTAAAGGATTTAATTCTTTGAATCTTATCTTCATTAATTGTATTAAATAGCTCAAAAATTTTCAAAGTCTTTCTTTTCCTTCCTAAATGCATTATCACTTACAGTATCATAGAGTTGTTTACAAATTTCATTATTAACTAATACCTGAGTAGTATCCTAGGATTATCTTTCTTGTAATGATTAAAGTAATCATCAAATGCTTTTTTAAAATTAAAATATGATTTAATAATATCTTGATTCACATTTTCTGTCTATTCTTTCATCTTAACAATAGTATCAAATAAATCAAAGAAATTCCCAATCTATCTTTTATAACTTCTGAATCATGAAATGTTTTAAAGAATAATTTCTCAATCAATTTTTTCAATATGAGGAAGTCATTCCTATTAACTAATTTTTTGGCTTTTTTATTAGAAGCTTTATTAGTAAATTTATTGATATGCTTTTTTTTGAGAGATTTAGAAATAATGGTAAATTATTAAACATTGATAGTGATATATCCATTAAATCATTATTATCTTTCTGCTTTCTGGGTGAATGATAACTGCTAATTCTACCTTCTTCTTATCATTAGGTTTTAGACATAATAAACTTTTTTATAGACCTTTCAATACAATTATGATGTAACTATGATGATATGTATGTTAATAGGTAAGTATAGTGAGATGCCATTTTATTTCATATAAAAAAGCTCTTCATTGCATTTTGAGCAGGGCTCTTGTTCTAAAACAACAATGCTTTTTACAACCTTTTTTGTGAATATATTATTTAGGCATTTAATGCAAGAGTTTAAGACAAGAAATATTAGACATTAGCAATATTTCATTATATGTTTTTACTGAATATATATTGTTTTTATTCATTAAAGGCTTACACAATCTCCTGATTATTAAAAAACTAATAATTAATTAATTTATCGATCCTGAATAAAACAATATTTTGAAATTGACCTTTATTAGAATGGGTGATCTTGAAAGAATAATATACATGATTAACTCATACATATTTTTCAAAACCTCATGCAGATAAATATATATTTTATTAGAAGCGTTAAGACAAATATACTTTATTAATAGTAGTATAGTACAACATATAGACACTCTGATTTACCTAACATATTTATAATAAAAATTCTTTCATAGTTAATCATTACAATCATCACAAAACATATGGTAATTCTAATATCTTTTAATTTGCTAATTTCAAAAATAATGTTCTAAAATTAATCTTCATTAGAATGGGTGATGTTGAATGAATAATACATATGATTAACTCTTACACATTTTCAAAAATCCTACATAGATAAATATATATTTTGTTAAAAGCACTAAGATAAATATACTTTATTAATAGCAGTATGATACAATATACAAAAAATATTACAAATTAAGACTTTGCCTATAATAAATAACATGTTATTCCTCTATACTTTCACTATTACTTCTCTATTCAGAAATTTTAGAAAATAATTCCAGCTATTCAGACTTGTTTTTTAGAATATAATTTTAATATTTCATTAAGTAGGATTCTGGATTCTTGGATATTATCGCAAATCAAATAATATTTTTCATTGTCTTCGTTATCAATCAACTAGTGACCTTCTAGATAGCAATGATCTTTTTTACATATAGAACAGATTTGCATATTATGGATGAGGTAACAGTTTACTTGATTCACACATTTCCTATCTATACTTACATAAAGGTCTAAATATGAGGTAGTTTTTTTGAATCAATTTATCACTAAATCAATAACTTTATTACGCTTTCATTTTGGTAGTTACTTTAGTAATGAAATGAGCTGATTACTTTGTGATGCAGGTGAATTCTTTGAATCAATTCCAGAAAAATCACTTGAAACATGAGATAAAGAAATAGGTATAGTTGATATACTTATCTTAGATTTAGCAGGTATAATTGGAACAGTTGCATTATTTTGATGATACCTAGTAATCATTTTGAAGTCATATGACTCTAATCATTTTTTAAGGAAACTGTTTTTGGGATTACTTAATCTATAACATTTTGCATTTAAACATTATTTAATTTTAAAATCTCATTTGCACTGCAAGTAGCATACTTAATTTTATTCATTTCCATACCATTCTTTTAAAATAATTTGTGATTTTTTTTTGGCTCTAAGAGTTTTAATCTATAAAGCAACTAGCATATCACCAGTTAGATGTTCTACCATTTCTTTATATATTTGTATTCTTGCAGTTTTATTGGTAACTCCTATATCATGACAAATTTCAGCAACTTTATTTTCAAATTATCTGAATAACAATCCAGGATATATCTTTTCATGTTCAACCTGTATTGTATTCTGAAACAAATGAATTAAATTTTGTGTTGTAACTTGGTTGCAAAAATGCTTCAGAGGATTTTATAATCAAATGTTGTTTATTAAGCAAAGCAATAATACTAAAATTTTGTAAATCATATATTAGATCAAGTTCTATATTCAGATTTTTAATATGCTCAATCTCATCAGAATCATCAGTGATAAGTTACTTTAATCTTGAAATAGTTTTTTGTTGATCACTTTCTGAGGAAATGGTTTTTGTGCTACTTTTGATTTTATCAGAAGTTTCTGTAACAGGTGATAAGTTAAAAGGGATAGTTGACTCACATTGAATTTCCTTTTCCCCGTTCCTTTTCTTTTCTTATTAACATCATCCAAGAAAACATCTGTCTTTTCATCTTCCAATGACTTCTGATAATTCACAAATGGAGATGATCGAAAGGTACTTTGTTTGGCATTATTAAGCTGATCTATAATGGAGCTAGATATATCAACAACCTCTTCAGGAGAAATTTCTTGGATTAGCTGTTTGCTATCCTCATTGTTGTCCCTTAGTTTCACTACTTCAGCCTTAATCTCAGCAATCTCAACATCACGTCTAACATTCTTGACTGAAGAATCTGCCTTGTTTTTCTTCAACTCCCCAATTCTGGCCTTGAGTTCGGCATTCTCAGCATCACGTCTCTTACTCTCTTCCACAGCCTGTCTTAGAAGCATGGCATTCCTAGACTTATGTTCAGCTCTCTCAGCCTCAATCTCAGCGAACTTCCTTTTAAGATCAGGGATCTCAGCATTCTCCTTCCTAAGCTCAGCAATCTTAGCTAAGAGCTTGGCATTTAATTCTCTCAATGAATCAATGGATTGCATGTTCGATAATAATTTTTTATATAAGATGGAATAATTCAAAAGTTCGTTAACATAGATAAAAAAAACGAGGTAATATCCTCATCGGAATTACCGATTTATTGATGTATAGAAATAAATTACAAAATTCGGTAATGCATAAACTTGTTTTACAAAGTGAAATGGAGTTTCTATGCTAATTCCTGACGGTGTTTCGTTCATCTAAAGCTAAGCTATCTATATACTAACACATCCCATTAACTCTAATCCTTTCATTTGCCCCCAACATCGATATTCTGGATGGAATAAAATGGTCGTCAGTTATGCATATAACATACAGAGTCAGAAATAAATTAACAATATTGACCTTAGTAAACTCACCGAAAGTTTGAATAGTCAACGAAAGAAATTATCGGAGTTATTCACTGAGAAAGCAAAGCAAAAAGATTGATTTATTAATTAAGCATATTGTGTTACGAATAATCATGTAAATATGCATTAAACAAAGGAAAGGTTCCACATTCTTGCCGTCTATATGGCAGACAAGAAATGTGGCTTACCTTTGCACAAAGAATGTTTATCGTCTATATGGCAAATAAGGTCATTCTAATGTGCACCTCTGTCTACTGATCAACTATATGCTAAATCAGCCGGCAGGCGATTGCAATAAGGAGGTCATCGCCTATATGACAGATGATTGTCTCCCTTTGCACTTCCAGTACGACCACCGTCTATATGACAGGCGTGGGACGTATGGGCCAAGACGAGCATAAAATTTAGAATCGGAAAAACACAGTTCGACAATGACATAAGATCCTAGCAATTTGATTGGATCTACACGCGTTAGGACTGCGGGAAGAAATGAAGCTTGTGTAATCATTTGTTGAAATTAGCTGAAATACAGTACTTTCACCTTTTAATCATGCCCATGTTCATGTCCGAACCTCGAGTAACAGGAAAGCATTCCAAATTTAAGTGTGAACAGAAAGCGCGTGACGTTGATTATTTCTTTAAGAGCCAACCGGCTTCGAATTGGTCTTTTGAGCTTTACATTAATGAATATCTTGCTGATCCCAATCTTAACGTCACCTTCGACCAACTGCTAAGGATCTTTGTGGATAGCTTAGATCAAATGAACCAATTACACGTCGTTCCTTTAACTATACGGGCGAATTGTACCAGCTACATCAGATGGCTCCAGGTACCTGTCACTTTATTATTACTTAATCGAACAAAGTTGCCTCATAACATCTATTATCACAGTTATCAACAGGCAAAGCCCTTGTGAGTACATGCAGAGAAGTATTTGATGCTAAAATAGATCTCGAGAAAAAGTTCCGATTGAATTCTGTGTTTAAGGTACGTTAATATGTCATCATAACTAATGATATTATAAGATGCTAATATGCTGTATCTTTGCAGAAATCGGTCGGTATCACCGCTCAAACAAGAGGTTTTAAAGCACTTTTGCAACCTGTTCCGTCAGAAATAAAACCATCACCGTCAGTTTTTCTGTCAGAAGCGGAATCATCACCATCAGTTTTTCCGTCAGAAGCGGAATCATCACCATCAGTTTTTCCGTCAGAAGCGGAATCATCACCATCAGTTTTTCCGTCAGAAGCGGAATTATCATCACCGGTTTTTCTGTCAGAAACGGAACCATCACCATCGTTATCACTTTCAAATGCTTTACAACCTTCAAACGCTCCAGATGCTTTACCACCTAAAACTCCGCCACAACCTCATCGGGAATTAGCACATTTATGGAAAATACCTAACAAACGTCCAATAGAGAATGAAGAACCCAGGCAGTAAGTTTCTGCTTGTTGTGTTACTTGAAAAATAGAGGTATTCTGATAGTATTTTGGTCCTCTGTGTAACAGCTACACTCAAAACAATCTCGTTATATGTGCATTTGCGTTGACAACTAAAGAATTGGAAGCGGAAATTGGTATAGAACTCACCAAAGAGTTGTCTTCTATGCGTGACAGAAATCCTGCTATATGGAATCCTGCCTTAGAGGGGTATATAGATACTACCCTCAAGGAATCTGGAGACAAGTTTAAAGATGTAGTTCGAAATAAGGATATAATAGATATAGATGAGCCTTTCCGCCTATATTGTGAGAAAATTCTCTCTGATTTGTAGGTAAACATTAATATCTATTTGTTCATCAAAGAAATTGCTGACGATTGTTTTTCCTTTAGTTACAACCTTGTAGATGTCAGTCCCACTATGAATAGAAAAATAGGCAAGCGAAAGCATATAGTTTACCAAGTATCAGCACTATTTAAATTTTACGAAAGAACGTTTCTATCATTAGATATCGATTGGATCGAGTCCCATTCACGTTCCGCAAAAATATTCAAGTCGGAATCAAACTCGGGTATTGTTTTGGTAGATGCAAAGGCGACTAGGATCTCTGATGGGTTGGACATTTGGCATTTAGAAGTCGCGGGTCCTCCCTGTAATGCTATCGATAAACATGTTTTAGGTGACTCGAAGAAAACTTTCCAAACGGATATCTTAAATCTAATTTCGATATTGCGGGAACACCTTGATTGTGACATGGACCTTGCAACCAAGATCAAGGTATTCAGCACCCAATCAATCAGTAAGTAATTTATGCATGATCTATGTTTTTGTTAGCCATCGCAACGTAACCTGTTCCCATTTTTTCAGATAATCGATTGACACTATATTCACTAAATCTGCTTCCAAATGGTCGCTTTCTGTCATGTGAACTTGCTTCCGCCGTCTTGCCTTTTAGCTTAATTGGGCGGGGTCAATATAAGTCGGTTCTTAGAACGATGTCTATATTCCATGTGAGTTTAGCTTATGTTCTTTATGTACCTTTATTTTTCGCAAGAAAGTTATATGATGGTAATTTTTTTCATAGGATGAAATAACAAAGCAAGAAATGCTGTTCGAAGAGATTAATAAAACGGTAACTCGTTCTAAGAAATTGACAGTCCGACAAGCATTAAAAATCCCTAAAGCGATGGTTGATTAATATTTTATTATACTCCCGTTGTCTCGACTGCCAGAATCAGTATATTGTAGAATCACTTTATTTTTAGCTTTTATTCTGTTGATTTCTTTTCAGAAGTTAAATAAATAAGCACTTGATAATTTCCGATCACGATTTACTGTGGTAAAAACTTTATTGATGATTTTTCATATATAGCGAACAGAGAAGCAAATGAAATGTAGTACGCGGATCCTAAGTCATTTAACGCGAGTTCCAGCATTAAGTTATTTCTTTGCTTCTTATAAATTTTTATACTAATTTTTTTTTTTGCTAGCTACGCATTCCTACACCCTTTCCCACCCACACAGTAGCAAAGTTCCAGAGAAGTTTCTCGGGATTGAATAATTTGAATCTACAGCATAGATTGGGAGATTAGCAACTGAGGCAAAAAAAAAAAAATGATACAAGACATTACCTTGCCGCTACGATTAATTTTTAGAACGCCTCATATTTAAGAAAGCTTATTGCTTAATGCGTTATTAAAATTTTTTATCCCCAGGACATCACCCTTTTATATAATTCGCAGGATCGATTTTTGGAATATGCTTTTACATTAAAATGATCACATCACGAAAATCTGATTAACGGATCCGCTTAAATTATAATAAAAAAACTTGATGCTAACTTTTTTGTTAATACATAAACCTTTGAGTATGTGCGGGAAAATTCGAGAGTAACATGCAATTACTTGTTACTTGTTTCCGCAATACTGATGTGAACGATGTCTAACGTTGCTGCGCATTTATTTATCAAGTCCAGATTGCATATTCGATTACAACTTTCATATAGGACGCGATTTATTTTATCCTTTAGGTCTCACTTTTTTTATTCATCATATATTGCATAAGCGAAGTCCCAAACTCTGTAATATTTCAACTTTAGCTTTAATCTCATTGCTAAGAGTTTTGCGATATGAAATCCAGCTAAAGCAAGGCAAATCTTCTTTATTTCCAGCTAAAGAGTTGAGAATTCCTCTTAAGGCTTTTGTTTTACCAGTCAGTACTTACAGGTGAACGAATAAGAGTTGTGCTACACACAGAACCTAAGAAGTCTGGATAAGCTTCTGAAGCCTCTTCCTTCTCTTTTACATTAATATTTTTTCCAGACAATTCAGGGAGTAAACGTGGATTTTTTACAACATTAATTAATAGGTCTTTCTTTCAGCCTGATTATACCTGTTATTTCCTCAAATGCTAATCCCTTATGATCCGGTTTATATTGTTTTTGCCGATAACATCTAAGTATAAAGCATCCATCACTTTGAAGAAGCCATATAATTGATCTCTTTCATGTCTGATATAACAAATAGGGCATACTTCTAATGATAGCACTTGAAAGATAACAAATCCCTTCCTAATGCTAGCAACCTTAAGCCATCCATATTTTGTGACAACTAAATCAGCTCTCTTGTTTAAGGCAGTTTCATCTTCGATAGGCTGAAATCTCTCTTTTCTTACTGGCTTCTTAGAAGAAAAGGTCTCTGGTCAGATTTCAGAACAATCAGATTTAGGTTGAACTAAATAATCCTCTAATTTGCAATACCCTTTCTTAATTGAAGAAACTGCAGGTCTTTTAACTTTATTATTCTTTGCTAATTCAAAAAGATGAAGACTAAATTAAGATTTGTAAAGTTTTATGTCAATAAATTCAGAATATGATTTTCCAACCCTATTAGCAACTTTTTCTGCAAAATCCCTAAGATCTCTATAGTTAATAAAACTAGCCTAGGGATATATGATATGCCAACTGCATTTATTAGCATTAGACGAACTAGTTAAAGCAAAATCATTTAAAGTTATAAGATGTTTTAAATCAGTATATATAATATCAGCACAAGTAATGAAGATTCTAGATAATAAATTTTCATGAGAAATTTTATTTATATTTAAAGAAGAGAGTTTGAAATTTATAGGATCAGGGTTTTGTCTCATATCAATGTTAAAAACCAGGTGAAAAGGTAAATTTCTATCAATACATTTATGAGTATTGGGTAATCCATAAACTTTAGATAGGTGATTAATAACTGTAAAGTTCTTACCTGTTACCCAAATTATATATTTATCAAAAATGATAGGTTAGAGAGGGTTACAGAATCTTGAAGTTCTTTTAAAATAATTTCACAATTAATTGATTCCATTATTATTACAGCAATTCAAAAAGTATTATCATAATAATATATATTATTTATAATAATAATTTTAGTGTCAATTATCATTCTATAATAATCTGAGATTCTTATTCAGTCTGTTTTAGATATGATTTCAAAAGATCTGCATATGTAAAGTTCTTTCTAACTCGTTGTAGAGTCAACAATTTAATAATTTAAGACACAGCAACAAGTATGATAATGATCAATAAAATTACATGATAAATTATAAAAGATATTACAGAATAATAAAAATAATAAAAAAATAATACTTTATTAAAAGAAAGAAGAATACACTGATAAAATTACGGACTAAAAAGGAAGATTACACAAAATAGATAAACTTGAAAAGGAAATAATTTGAATAAATTAGTTACTGAAAGAATAGGTAATTAAAGAACTAAACGAAGGGTCCAGGAAATGGATAATTAATCAACTGAACAGAGGGTTTTATAGAAAGACAGAAAATATTTAAAAATATTAATTTGAAGAAGTAATACGAATATGTAGAAAGGTTATACAAAAAATATAATGATTGAAAATGACTAAATGGATCTAATGAAAGCTTGTGTAATATAAAGGTTACACATGATATCATAAAAACAAAAGGAAGTTCGCTTATAAAACAAGAATGGAAATAAGATTAAATTCAGAAGAAAAATAAAGTAAAATTCAGAAATAAAACTAAATGAAATTCAGAATAGATAGGAAAATAGCAGAAATAAAGTAAATATTAAATATCACATAGTAATAATTAGATTATTCATCACATAATTATTATTTATCACATGTTTATTATAGAATTTAAATATCACATAGCAATTAATTAGATTAATCATCACAGGTAGCCATTTATTCAAAACCTTTATCATGTAAATTTATTATATAAACCCTTTGGATTCCCTCAAGAAACAATATATTTGATTTTCCAAATAAAAAAAAAATAATTTTAAATAAACTTTTAACACAAATAATAATAAATACTTTTGTTTGAAATAATTGATTGTTGAACAATTAAATTATGGAAATAAATAAAGTTATTTTGCTTGTATATAAACTATATAATCTTAGAAAGACATTAATAAAATAATGCAAAAATAAAATCCAGAAAGAAAATTATAAAAATAAAGTGATGATAAAAATAAAAGAATAAATAATAAAATAAAGAATAAAAGACTTGAACATAATAATAAAATAATGGAAAGAAATAAAGTTATAAAAGAATTTGGAGAAATTATGTAAAAATAAAATTAAAGAAATATTCAGAAGTAACATTCGTAAGTAATAATTAGAAGTAATATTCAAAAGTAACATTTAAAAAAAATAATCAGAAGAAATAATCAGAAGTAATATTCAGAAGTAATAAACAGAAGAAATATTCGGTAGAAATAATTGGAAATAATATTCAAAAGATCAATTAGAATTGATAATTAATGAATAAAGATAGTGTAATAAGTGTAATAACAAACAGAAAGACACACAACAATGACATTGCAAGAAAGAAATAAGATAAATTAACACTCAATGTATAGAAATAGATTCTCAGCAATTAAATATTAATTTATAACACAAATCCTCTTGATGACGAGTGGCAAAAATGATCAAGAAGATGTAAGCTATTAGGGTTTCGCAAAATTGAATCAAATCAAATATTTGACGATGTAAAGTCAACAATTTCATTATTTAAGGTGCAGCAATACAAAAGGAAATGATCAACAATATACAATAAAAAGTCATAAGGAAAAGTCATATGATAAAAGAGAAATAATTATTTTATTAAGAGAAAGAATAATACTCAGATAAATTATGGACCGAAGAGGAAGATTACACGAAACAGATAAATCACGGAAGAAATAATTCAGATAAATTAGTTATTGAAAGAAAAGGATAATTAATTAACCGAATGAAGAGTCAAGGAAAAAGGATAATTAATCAATTGGACGAAGGGTCTTATAAAAAGACAGAAAAAAATATTTGAAAAATAACAAATTGAAGAAGTTACACAAAGATGTAAGAAGATTATATAAAAGGCACACTCGTTGGGAATGACAAACTGGACCACATGGAAGTCTGTGTAACATAAATATTACACATGACATCATAAACGAAACAGAAATCAGAAGAAGAACTGAAGTTAGTAGTGATATGAAATACAGAAGAAAGACAGAAGTTCGAAAAAGTAAGAAGGAAAAATTATTATTAAAACATTAAATAATTATAAAGAAAACAAATGAGAATTAATATAATGGAAGTAAAAATAACATAACAGAAGTAAAAATAATATAACAAAAGTATGAATTAATACAACGGAATAAAATTAAATAGTAAATGTAAACAATAAATAGTAAACAAATACAAATATGGAATTTAGTAATGAATAATGGAAAATTAGGAATAATAGTAAATATAGAAATCATATATAGAAAATCATGTAACGAATATTACGAAGTGAATTTTATTATATAAAGGTTTAGGATTTCCTCAAAGAACCAGGTCATTCAATTTCTCAAGAATAAAAAAAAAAATAATTTAATAAATAAACTTTTAGCACAAATAAAAATGAATACTTTTGTTTGAAATAATTAATTGTTGAACAATAAATTATGGAAATAAATAAAGTTATTA